GTTGAAGTCGCTCAAAGATGAAAAGTATTTAAAGCCGACGTTACCGTGCAGAACTGGATTCCTCTGACGCTGTTGCCCAGCTTGTCCAGAGGAGGAGACCAACACATGACGCCCATCACGTTTGGTACGACCAGCAGAATCCCACCGGCGACGCCAGACTTAGCCGGCAGCCCGACCTGAAACACAAGGACGGCGACGATGACGTGTTGCGACTCAAACGTTTTGTTACTCCACGGGATCTTTGTCACTCACGTGGAAAGCAAACTGCCCAGAGAAGTCGTACATGCCGCAGGAATGCATCAGACTCAGGGTGTTTCGCACGGCCTCTGGACTCAGCACGCGCTCGCCTGTGATTGGACAGAAGCCGCCGTTGGCCAGAGTCGCTGCCATGACACTGGCGCTCTCACAGGTCACCTCGATGGAACACAGCTGACAGGGAGGAACAGAAATAATTCATGTCTTTTTGGGAATTGTCCAAGATCTGTTCTGATTTCCTGCACAGTCACAGGCTCAGTGTTAAATCAAGATAAAAGAGGACGGGGACGTTTTGTCTCGTCACTTTAATCAAAAAGCAGATTTGAATGAGATTCTTCAGCAGCGTCACTTTCCTCCGCATCAGATTCTGAGTTTGAATCAATTAAAAAAGACGAATCAATCAGCGACTGACACAACTGACACACCATCACCTTCATTACTGTGCCGTGATAACTCTATTCATCCCACGGGTTTTCAATCCTTTGTTGATTTGTATTCACCTGGAAGTAGAAGTCCAGGATGGACGTCATGTCTGTGCCCTCTGGAAAACACTGCAAGGATAAAACACAGCGTCAACCCGTCTCATAGCTCATCTGCTGCTTCTTTATGTTATCGACAGTAAAAGGTAAATTAGAGCAAACAGGAGCAGCAGCTTAATGAATAAGGATCAATGAAAAATGTTTAAATAAAGAAGAAACATGTTCAGTTTATCAAAGCTGATCTATAAATCACGACTTTAGGGCGAAAACAAAAATCTAACAAGTCTTGATTGAGAGAGAAACATCTGCTGCTGCTTTTTACTCCTCGTGTCTTCTCTGCCTGACGTTACCTTCTTCTCCTTCAGGTAGTAGCCGATGGCAAAGTTTCTGTCTCCAGACTCGCGCTCCGACTGGAAACTGGGGCACAGAGCGGGACGGGGGGGGTTTGTTCTTTTAAGACCATGACTCAGCTCACGTTATATAAACAAAATCAAACTGTACTGACGGAATTATTTTGCCTCTGAAAGTTGCTGCGCGTCCCTGAATTCACCAATTCTGCAGTGAGGGGATGTTTTTACTCACGTGGCGTTGCTGAAGCCCACGTACTCGTTTCCCGCCAGTTTGTTCATGAAGTTCATGACCTGAGGAGCAGATGAAGAGAATAAAATGACGAAAGAAAATGTACGGTTTGATGCTCGTATCACAACGTCTCTACGAATAACTCGTACGTATCAAGAACACAAATCGAATAATTTCATTTATGGTTTTATCTGTTATCTCAGTTTGGAAACTTCTTTTCAAGTCTTACTCACATAATCAAACTTTTCAGCGTTGCTGGCCCCTTGCTGAAACACACAAACAATGTTAGTAACACGACATTTAAGTCAAGAGGAAACATTCAATGACACTGACACTTAACGTTACCCACATATTAGCACTAGTGTATTATATGATTCACGTCTCTATGATATTAAACTATGACAGGAAGTCATCAGTTACGTGACCAATCTAACCAGTCATGACATCAGATGAATTAAGATTAGAGGTGGGAGACTAGCTGGAGATGGAGAAGGTGAAATAAAAACGGTTAATCCACTCAGGGTTCCTGCTTCTTTTTAAAGGAAAATTAAAATAAACTATAATGAGAGTTTGCAAGTAGAAATAACTACGTGTTCTGCAGTGATAGTTAACTTATAGTGTGTTTACTGTACAAAGATTAGGCTGGTGAGTTAGTTTAAACACTGTGAGCTACACAGTTTGTGTTTTTTAAGGATTTATCTGACTAGTAAAGAAATGAAAACAAAGAGGGGGGTCCTTCTCTACAGGGGAATGGAGTATGGTATAAAACCAGAGTTGAGCCAGAGCTGTACTGTTTATAACCCAGACGTATAAACAGTTTGGAGAATGCATGTGAAAAGTATAAAAGCAACATTTAAACATTCATTAACGGCCAAGTGAAAAGCTAAAAGCTCACAAATCCAGATCAAAGAGGGAGGAAAATGATTAAAAAGGAAAAAATTACCAACGTCATTGACCTGTTGCTGTGGTCATAATTTCCCAAAGATCCTAATGCTGTAAAATATGCAACAACACATAAAAGCACACAACGATGCCTTGAACAGGTACATTGCACATGTGTAGATCTAGATGCAGAGAGAGGAGGAGGCACGCATGCAAACAGTCGCTGACAGGAGCTGGTTTTATTTACTGTCTTTGGTGTCACGATATATTTACGAAAATCAGATTCTGAGCATTCCACGAGATTTTATCTGCCCGTAACTAAACCGTGCTCCGCGGTCGAGTGACTCTACATCCTGAGATTCTTTCAACAACATGTTATTTAAAACTCTGCCAACAGAGCAGCACGCTCCTCATTGTCTCAGCACGCAGGCCAAGTTCTGACACAAAGCTCTGGACTTAAAGTCACTGAGAACATTATCTCGTTAAAGGTTCAGGCTGATGGAGAAATGTGTTGTGGGATAAATACAACAAACACCGACTGTCTGTGCAGTCTCCTCTCACTGTATGAATGTATCGCAGTAATTAAACTGCTACCGACGACCTCTGAGACGACCTCACGGAATCCTGTTGATCCTCGTTGGCCACTTGAGAGCAGACGCTGCGGTTTATGTTTTATTTCCGTCAGCAGGTGGTGCTGTTGTGCGTTTAAACCGGTCCGTGTGTGTGTGTGAAGGTCAGTCAGTGGAGGATATGAATGAAACACTGCAGTTTCCCTGATTAAAGCTGATAACGTGTCCGAGCTGAGCTGCTCTGTCTCCATCTCCATCCACTCTCTGGGCTCTATAAACTTTGTGTGTCTGCACAGGATATCCGAGCGATGCCGCTTTCAACCAAATCCCCTTTCAGCGTGATTATCTATAACCTTAATCTCCCCGTTATACAGCAATCTGGCGGAAGCACGCTCTCCAGACGATTATTATTTCGTTTCAGACAAAGTCTCTTTGAACACAACTTTGCAGCTGCAGATAAAAAGTCTAAAATCTTTTCTAAAATCACGGCATTAGTCCTGATGTGAAAACATTGATAACTCAATTTCAGGCCGTAGATTTTCTGAAACAAACTCTGCACACGTTCACAAACTGCGACTGTAATATTCTATATTTGCTAGTGGGGGTATGTGGATGTAGCGTACCTTAATGAGGGAGGTGCAGACGATAGCGCCGGCATTAACCATGGGGTTGTGTGGTTTATCTGCAATAAAGAAAGTGAGTGTCATCAAAGGAAGAAGTAAAACGAGGAAGAGAAAGGAGAAAAAGGAACAATTCTAATGCCGGAGGTCTGGAATGATTCACTGAGCATCAACTTCCTCTCTGAGTTTTAATCTTCTTATGCAACAGGCCACAACAATGTGAGAAAATCCATGTAAAATATAAGCAGCAGGAATGTTTCCTCTGCCGCAGAGTTCTCAGGAACGACAAAGAGAGGAAACCTGGAAACCTTCTCACACCAGGGTCCATTGGAAAAACAAACGATTGGTACAGAAGCTGTTTTTTAAACAGTGTAAACAGGTAATTTGCAGAATGTCGACCATTTACGATCTATCATATAAACCAGTGTTTTTATTCTTTAACATGATTGAACACTGCGAGAAGAGGTAAACAACACAACAGAGAGGAAATTAGAAACCTCAACAAGCTGTTCGAGTAAGTGAGATAGTTTCACGACCTGCTGACCACAGATATTTTTGACCACACGTCTGTCGTTCCTTCAGAAATAGAGAGCAGTGCTTTCACCGCAGGGTTTAAGGTGAGTGTCTAAACTCACCGTATGAATGTTAATGGCCACAGCAAACTTGAACTGGTTTTTACCGACGCCACGTGCAGCCTGTGGTGTTCCCAGGTTATTCTGTCTCTGTTACACACTCTTTGTTTTACTCTGCCTCTCATTAACAATTTATCGCAGCTCCATGGCAACCAGGCCTGGATGGCTCCTCTTACCGAGGCCACGTTGAGGAAGTCCAACCACAGCCGACTGAGTCATGATGCAGGCGAGAGGCTTGTGTGAGGAGCAGGTGAGAGTGTGTGTGTGTGTGTGTGAGTCCTCACCCTCCTCGTTCAGGAAGAGCTTGTTGAATCGCAGACCGCTGGGCTCTTTGCCGATGAAGCGGTGAACGTACTCGGTGCCGTGGTCGTGAACGGCAATAGCGTATTTCAGCGGCTTGACGCAGGACTGCAGACAGAATGGAACCTTGGTGTCGCCGA